GCATCAGATCGATACACTACTCGCAACGGGTTACTGTTTTATACAGCCGTTTCTGGTGACACACCACGTGTTGTCATTCCAGATGATACTGATCTGCGTTTGCAGATCATGTTCAAGTATCACGATGCTATTATAGGAGGACATCGTGGCCGGGAGAAAACAAATCTCACGGTGGGTCGAGACTTTTACTGGCCCCGCCAGTATCAGTTTGTGCGAAAGTATGTTCGCGCATGCGAAGTCTGTCAACGAGTGAAGTCAAGTCCTTCACTGCGTGCACCTTTACAGCCTCTACCGGTTCCGGCTGAGTGCTGGGAATCCATCTCAATGGATTTCGTCTTTGGGTTGCCCAAAGACGCTCGCGGGAATACGGGTATTCTCGTATTTGTTGACAGATTCAGCAAAATGGTACACCTTGTGGCTGTACCAGAGACAATCACGGCAAGTGGATGTGCTTGTGTCTTTAGTGACACCATCTTCCGACTTCATGGGTTGCCCCGTGAACTCGTATCAGACAGAGATCCACGATTCACTGCTAATTTCTGGCGTTCCGTGTTCAAATCACTCGGAACGCGCTTGAAGATGTCGACATCTGATCATCCAGAGTCAGATGGTCAGACGGAACGTGCCAATCGTGTCCTTGAAGAGATACTTCGAGGATACGTACACTCCTTTAAGAGTTGGAGTGAGTTCTTGCCAATGGTAGAATTTGCCATCAACAACTCCGTGCATGCGTCCACGACCCATACACCGTTTTACGTGAATGGCTTGCGCCATCCGCGTGTACCCACCTTACTCGAGTGTAACTCTGGTTTAAGGGGGGGAGGGACTCGCGCGAGCAAAACCCGATTTGGTTCACGCTCATCACGCTCTGACGAAGAGGTCATTGCGTTTGATGCCGATATCGATAACATCGATATCGAAGAAGATGATCCCAGTGAGAGTGCGGAAGCCCTCACTGAAGAAAAGATTGATGTTGCTGCAGTGCACTCACAGCGCACTGAAGCTAACGAGTCATCAGATGAGTTCATACTGGCTCGTGAAACGGTAGTCCGTTTTGTGCAAGACTCCATCGCCGAAGCGGTGGATAAGCAAAAGCAAAACGCTGACAAGAATGGAAGGGCAGACACTCTTTTATTTAGTAAAGGTGACTTAGTCCTACTGTCTACGGTTAATCTACCAAAGCATGTAGTGACTAACTTGGGTAGCAGTAAACTACTACCCAAGTACATCGGCCCATTTCGTGCATTGCACCGTTTGGGCAATGCATACACGTTCGAGTTGCCACGTAATATGCGAACGCTTCCCACGTTTTACGTTGGTCGGCTTAAGCCGTACCATCAGTACGCTGCTTCTTCCGATGAAGAACGCCCTTGTGCTCAAGCATCTCGCAGAGAGCCTTGTGCTCCCGATGGTGGGCATCGACAAGGGTCTGAAGAGCGGTTATCTCATCCCGAGACCGATCAACAATCCCACGAGCTACCCTTAGCTCGTCATGAAAAGATGTCAGAGCTCTCTCGTTCTCAAGCTGAGCAAAGGCAAACTCAGCTCGATGCTTCGAGACAGTGTCCGCCATTTGTAGACGCCTGTCCCGCTCATGTTCGAGATCGTTGCGTAACCCTTGCGTTACGCGATCAAAGAAGCTCTCGGGAACACACCGATCCCCATGATCGTGTGGAGAGCGTCTTTCCTCCTCCTCCACCTCCATTAGAGGACTCTCGCGGTGGCCAGCACTATCAAGTTGAGCAGCTGTTAAACCACCGCGACGTGAACGGACGTCGGACGAGTTATCTCGTCCGGTGGCGCGGCTATCCCGCGTCCTGGGATACTTGGGAGCCCCGCTCCCAACTGATGATCGACGTACTGGGTCTGGTTGAGCAGTACGACGCGGCACATCCTGTGCCGCAGAAGGACCGCTGGAGAAAGTCTTCCCGGCACGGTCGTAAATGGATTTCAAGTTGTCAATCCCTTCGTACATCTCACTAGAGATACGTACGCGCCACCACGGCTATTAGGGAGGTAAGCCTCCTTAGGTGCTCGTGCAGAGTTGTTCACACAACATGGGCACGAGTCTCCCCAAGAGAGGCAGGGTAATCCCTTCTCCCTTGACAGACGATGCAGCTTGTAGCGTGCACCTGTCGGGGTTCGCTTTTCAAACTTATCACGAGCTTTGATAAGTTTGTCGTTCCAAGCGTCACGACCTACATCCTCGAGGTTATGGATGTAGGCGTTCCACGCTTGAAGCAGTGAGGGATCATCACGTTTGTGATTCCCACTGTACCATCGATGTTTAAAGAAAGCATCGATGAAGAATTCATTCTCAGCGCGATATTTTTTCGCGCTGGGGTCAAGGTGATGGATCCTTGACAAATCGAACAGTCGTGTTCGAAAACGATCACTCATCGTCGCCGACAAGTGATCCATGACGGATTTGGGAGGCATCCATGCCTTCTTCTTGGGAGCGAGACGCAAGACATTGCGGTCCCGCTCTTCCTGCGACGTGCCGACAGAAGGACTGGCACCTCGTTGCGAAGTGGTGTCCATAGGAGAACCGACACCACTATTAGCGCCCGAGTCTCGCGACCTCGAGCGCCTTCGCTTCGGCGATGGTTCATCTGATTGATCAGATGAACCAAAGATGCTACGACGCATAGCATCATCCATGCCACGCTTGGCAGGCGGCTTCGATACGGATCCGTCTTCCGTATCAGGAGAGTATGAGACTCCGAGCTCATACTCTGTGAAGACATGAGTGTCTTCATGACCAGCGCCTGCATCACCAGGTGACACAGGCTGAGTCGCTTCAGCAACCGATGAGACATCAGTTGCTGTGGTTTCTGCTTCGGCGTCCGCACAGAGACGTGCGGACGCGCTCTCGGCGGCCTTGCTCGCGTATCGCATGGGCTTGTTAACCATGCGATGAATTGTTGGAAAGTGGACTCGGACCAACAAGTGCAAACCCTGTCCCAAATGATTTGGGACGAGTATCCATTTAGTCAATCAGTCACTAAAGTGACTGATGGTTAAGGGGGGGGTGATGTAACGGGGTGAATCGTTACACAACAATTTATAAGAAATTGTTAATAGAATATAACTATAAGTTATATTCTCAGAATATTGTCATAAGGACAAATATTCTGTAGCACTTACGAGTAATTCCTAATTGGTTGATATAGGCCATTATATCAACCAACGAAGACGCGCCACGACAGACGCACGCAATGAGTGGTGAGCAGATAGTTGATATGCACATTTGTACTCAGACATAGTTAGATGAGGATAAATAGTGGTTTATTAACAGACATTAACTATACTAAATACTGTTCTACTTTTTACTTTAACCAAGTACTCGCTTCTTCTTACCGTCTTCCTCTGCACGTACGAGTGTACGTGAAGTTACGAGGCACCGCCTTATTCTGTCATCAAAATAAGTAGCTTGTACTGTCACCAGTACAAGCTTCAGGGTGCCCCGTTACATGCGGTCTTCAGTTGCGAGACGACGGCTCCTGCAGCGGCGCGGGTGGGAGCCAACCCGCGACGGCGAAATCTGTAGCGGTGGCAGCTGAAGCGGTGGAAGTTGCAGTGGAGATAATGAATGCTTAAATGTGGTCAGATGAGCCGCTGTAACCCATTTCTCTTACCCATTGACGACCGATGGTGGATGTTTCTACGGCACAAAAGAAGATCGAGTCGTTCATGTCCGTCTATTGATCAATGATTTACTGAATGATACGACGCGATACTGTGTCGAAGAATGACGTGCCGTAATAAATCACCGGATGAGCAGCAAACTCAGTGAGTCACTCGGTAACGATTCGATCGGTACAGATACAACCGCACGCATCTTTTGCGTACCACGATCAGTCAGTGATGATGCGAAGACCTTTGAGAGCTCGTGATACGGTTCTAGTGACTGGTATCGTGACCATCGCGATTGATCCTGTGATTTTCGTTTCGCCTCATCTCAACAAAACCAATGCATGTGCAACCACGAGTATCTTGTCAGTAAAGCGACTGTCCAAATGACATGACTGTCACGTATGTATCACGATCTTCGAGTTTACACATGTTAGTTGCGCAAACACTTGGTGACAACGCGCGGCATTCTACAAGTCCCCCAGTATTCAGGCGCGGAGGGAATCTGTAAAGGGATAGCCCGTTACATGATATTGACACCAGACGGTGTCAATAGGGAGATTGTCTAGCATGACAATATTCCACCAATTTTTTCCGAGATAGACATAATTGAAGGAATATTATTCCTTTTGGATAATATTCATGCGCTGCTCCAAGATTGGTTGATATAAGACATATCAACCATAGATTGCCACCAGTCGCTGCTAGACGCGCGCGATGAGTGGTGAGCAGGTTGTCGTCACACGACGGCGTAGTTTAACATAGTTAGATAAAGATTAAAGTTTTATTGATAGCTTAACTACGTATAATACAGTTCACTTTGTACAAGTACTTGAACGAGTCGTTCAAGTAGATTAGCTTCCTCTGCACGTACGAGTGTACGTGAAGTATCGCTGCACTTCAAGCAAAGGGTGACCCGTTACACCTGGTAGCACTTTGTAGTCCGTCCAACGACTGCTTAGTGTCCATATAACATGAACATGTTGGACGTAGAAGACGACATCTTTCACGTCACACGTGAAGGCTTCTCCCATCTGAGTGACTCAGAATGGGAGGTAGTCGGCCGCATGAGTGTGCTCATGGGCGAACCCGCCATCAGTGGTATGATGGAGCCTCTAAGCAGAGACCAGCAACATGCTGCTATCAACAAGTTCCTACGAGGGTAACTTGCCATCGAAGGACAAAAGATAGCCTTGCTACACCAGCAAGTCTCTCATCAATCGTTTGACGGGCCGACGCACATGCGTCGACCCGAGACCCTGAAGATTGATATCTTAAGGTATAGGGGAACCGATAAAAATTCCCTTTTGAGATGGTTCGTCGAGTTAGACGATGCCATCAGGGCCCGTCACATCGAGGGTGACGAGATGCAAGTCACCTTCGCCCTATCAAATTTGACGGAACGAGCAAAGAATTGGGCCTTAGGGCTCAAGCTTCACGACCCAAACTTGTTTGAGTCGTTGGAGATCTTGACGTCTCGTCTCAAAGAGACGTTTGAGCCGGCGAGAGCCGAGTTCAGATCACGCTCTTTACTCCTGAAGCTAAAGCAAGGTAATCGTGACGTGCACGCTTACGCACAGCACCTGCGCTATCTTGCGAGTAGCATTACGGAAAACCATGTTGATGAGCACACGCTCATCAACGTGTTCATCGACGGCCTTGTGGATGGGCCGGTGAAGACCTACATGTTTCAAGAGGACTTCCATACGCTGAAAAAGGCAATAGCGTATGCGAAAAAAGAAGACTTCAGCCTGATACGGTCTCAGGCTAACTTGTTGAACTATCGTCCAACGAGACGACAGGAAACAGGAGGTCCCGAACCAATGGACCTCTGTTCTATCGAGAGCTAGAACTCTCGCTCTATGAGACACAAGCGAACGGCAAGATGCCATCGCTATCAGAAGATTGGAGACTACGCTCAAGAGTGTAGTGTCCCGAGCACCGCATCTCGTCCAAAGAGAGGACGTGATGAGCACCGTTGGCCAAGGAAATGTCCAAGGCGTGGGTCCGATCATGTCGCTTAATTGCTAAAGCAAGTCGGACCGCCAAAATTGGTCAGGGTCGGTAGGTGCAGAGCACCCTGCTGATCCAGCAACGTCAAGAGAATTTGCAGGACTGTTGACGAAGATTTCTCCCAACACAAAGTCGCTGTGTGTTACTGCCCTTAGTGATAAGAAGTCTCTTATCACTTTGAAGATCGAAGTGACAAGTGGAATGTCACTTCGCGCCCTAGTTGTCTGCGAGGCGTCGAACAGCTTTATTCGACGTCAGTCGCTAGGGGATATCTGGCTCAGCTAGGCCGAGCGAGATATCCCTCCAACGAGGCTGACGGTGTGCCTTGCAACATACTCATCCGTAACGGTAAACAAACGTGTAGTAGGAATCCACTACACGCTAGAAGGAAAGCAGTACGATGATGACTTCATCGTACTAGATTTGGATGCCAAATTTGATGTCATACTCAGCCTGTTATGGCTCAGAAGATACGAGCCATGGATCAGCTGGCAGCATCGATCCGTGAAGATGCCTGCCGTTTGTTCAGCACATGGCCATCTGATGAACGTCTTGGAGCGTCCACAAACGTGAAAATGTACTACGAACGGTTGCGATGGCCTACTTGTGTACTTGTGGTACGGTCGTTAGCACGACTGCAAAAGATCACAGTGTAGTAGGCCGCTACACTGTGGAACCATCTTCCGGCACCTGTGTAGAGACACAGGATGTGCTGAAGGTTCACCACCCGAATAAAAGAGTGGACTAGAACACGGATGCACACCAAAGAGGGTGCGTCCGAGAAGATAGATTAGTGTTGTTCAGGATGAACAACACTTTGAAGCAAGATCGACTAACAGAGAGTCGATCGTAAAGCAAACACGATCGACTGAAAGAGAGTCGATCGAAGAGGCCGTGACTGTGGTAGGGCTCCCACAGTCAGAACACGTATTGCAAGAAAGTTCCAGCGTTCCTGAGAGTGATAACTTCGGAGAGGGCTATGTTAAGGATGTGTTTTCTCCAACCACCTGAGGATTTGTTTTTCCAGGAAATCACGTAGTCAGTTAATGTCTTGGTGAATGACGGATCAAGTGTAGGCGCTTATACACTTGATCTGGTTACGACCCCGAATTCAGCTTCGGAGGTAATCAAGTTGCCAACGCTAGAATCAAAAAGATTCTTGCGAGATCTGCGCAGTGATATGATCAAACAGATCTGCTTACTCGTCACAGAGGACGAGTACGTCGCCGATGTTCGGTTGGCAAAAGTGTTTGCTGAGAACAAAAGGGTTTTCAGTAGCTCATCGATGGACGAGAGTGTCCTCGATGAGAAGACTCGGATTGAGCGATACACGTCTCAGTCTTGGGAGTCTTTGAAGAAAATCCTTTGCATAAGGATTTGATCGAATCAGGGATGTTTTCCCGGAATCCGTGCCATGCGAGCTGCCCAAGGACAAAGGCACTCGACATGATATCGAGCTGAAACCTGGTTCGAAATTCTGTGTCATGAATCAGTGGCCACTGCCTCGTGAACAGGTAACAGCGATCGACGAATTCTTTGCCGATCGATTAGCGGCAGGTTATGTGAGGGAATTAACATCCCCACACAGCTCTCTAACCTTCTGTGTGCGAAAGGCCACAGGAGGGTGGCGGATAGTACACGCGTTCAACAAACTGAATACTGCAACGGTACTGGCGCAGACACCGACACCGAGGAAGGACGTAATCATAGATGGTATGGGAAAAAGTACCATTTTCTTGTCCATGGATTTGACGGATGGGTTCTATCAAATCCTCATGAGTACACGGGATATCCCTTACACAGCAGTTAGCACCTCAAGTGGTATGCTCTTGGGGTGGCTAATAATGGCACCGAGGCTAAGTAACGCCCTTGCAACGTTCAACAGATGTGTTACGAATCTGTTGCGATCGGTGCGATTTTGCACCGAGTTAATTCGACGATGTCGTTGTCCATAGCCGGGAAATGGATGGAAAGACGGAAGTGAAGGTTCATAGTATCCACGTCCGGAAGGTTCTTACGCTAATGCGAGAGCATAAGTTGTACGCCAAACTCAAGAAGTGCATATTCTCAGCGAGCGAAATGCCACTTCTTGGCTGCATCTTTCGTAAAAACGGCGTACGTCCTGATCCAAACAATTAAGGCATATAACGAATGATCTGTGCCAGTCGAAGCTAAGGGTCTTCGAAAGCTCCTTGGCTTAGCGGCGTACTTGCAAAAGTACTCGCGCAACTGTGCCGAGATGACCATGCATCTCTCTCGTCTACTAAAGAAAAACGAGAGGTGGTCATAGAGTAATGTGTGTCAGCACTCTTTTGAAGGCATCAAGAGTATCTTGGTGCTTTCGCCTGTGTTGGCGATTGCAGACCAGTACAGACCATTCCATGTGGTCTGTGACGCCAGTGATTTTGCAATCAGCTGCGCGTTAATGCAGTACGATTCAGACGGCGTTGAGCGCGTCGTCTGTTATCAAACGCGCCAGCTGCAAGCAGCTGAGCGTAACTAAGCAGTGCATGATAAGGAACTCCTTGCAATGAAATGTGCACTGGCTAAGTTTCGGGTGTATATCTTAGGAGATAGGTCCTCCATCATTTATATCGACCATGCGTCGTTACGCACGGCCGCAGACAGTCCACACCTCTCGCAAACGAATGGCGAGGTGGCTGTCTTTCTTTGCAGAGTACATCTTCTCCGTCGAGTTTAAACCAGGACGACTTGATGTCGTCGCTGATGCTCTTTCGCGTCGGCCCAATTTCGAGCCGACTGCTCAACACCACAGGAAGGGTGATCCCACTATAGCAACACTACCAGTGAGTGTTCCATCGTCAAGTCTGCTCGAAGACGTTCGGAAAGCATACACAGAAGGTGAGTCTCTTTTACAGTTGATGTATTATGTATCCAATCCATGCAGTCAAGCTTTGAAAAGTTTGTCGTCTCAATACCGCTCTTCAAACGAACGGTATTCTGTTCGTGATCGACTGCTGCACTATACAGCAGTCAACGGCTACACACCTCGTGTCGTCATTCCCGCTCATAATGATTTGCCATTGCGCATCATGCATGAGTGTCACGATGCCCCGACAAGTGTGCATCGCGTTAAAGAAAAGGCTTACCTTACGGTAAGTCATGACATCTACTGTCCACGTCAGTATGCGTCTGTGCGCAAATACATTCGCGCTTGCGAAGTTTGCTAACGGGTAAAGCCTAGCCCTTCATCCCGTTCACCCTTGCAGCTTCTACCGATTCAGTCAGAGTGCTGACAGTCCGTATCGATGGACGTCGTCTTCGGGTTTCCCAAAGACGTTCACAAGAATACTGGTATTCTTGTGTTTGTTGATTGGTTCAGCAAGATGGTACATCTTGTTGCTGTACCGAGGTCAATCACAGCCCAGGGCTGTCCTCATGTCTTCATCGATACTATCTTCCGACTTCACGAGTCATCCTGTGAACTCGTGACCGCTAGACCCCCACTTTACGGCGGACTTCTGGCAATCCGTGTTCCTTTAATTTGGAACACGTTCGAAGATGTCAACTTCTGACCATACTAAAAAAATGGTCAGACGGAACTCGTTAATCGCGTCCTCGAAGAGATACTTCGAGGGTACGTCTACTCATTTACGAGTTGGAGTGAGTTCTTGACGATGGCGGAATTCACCATGAACAACTCGGTGCAAGCGTCGACAACGCATACACCGTTCTTCGTAAATGGCCTATACCATCCACGTTTACCCGTCTTCTCAGAGTGTGACTATAGTTTGGGGGGGGCTCTCGAACAAAAACCGATCTTTTTCTTGCTCATCACACGTCGACAATGATGTCGACATGATGGATGACGATGTTGATCTCATCGATATCGATAATAATGATGATGACGATGATAATATATTCAGCATCGCCAAAGACGCTACAGTGAGGACGATGACGCCCTCACTGGTAAAGATAACGTTCTTTCAGCAGTGCACACGAAACGCACTGCTGTTCACAAGGGTGAAACAGCAGAGGAATTTCTGCTGACTCGCGAAGCGGTTGTCCGCTTCGTTCAAGACTATAGTGCAGATGCACTAGACAGACAGAAAAAAACGCAGACAAATATGGAAGAGGGAATGTTATTTAACATAATGAAGAAGACTTAGTTTTTACTGTCTACAGTAAATCTACCAAAACACGCAGTGACAAACGTGGTCAGCAGCAAATTACTGCCCAGGTACATCGGTCCATTTCGTATGTTGCGCCGTATGGGCAGCGCATACACGATTGAACTGCCTCGTAGGATGCGTACGCATCCTACGTTTTACGTTGGACGTATCCTCCCGTGTTATCAGTACGAGCCGTTTCGAGAGGCGAAGAACACCTTCGCGGTCAAGGACCGAGACCACCTTTGAGTGGTCCCATTTCAAAGAGCCAATCTGGTCGACCAGCGAAGTGACCTGTTAACGCAGTTGAGCGATGTTCTGACGAGCTGCAGTCATCTGGAACGAAGAGAACGAATCGAATGCTTGTTCTCAAGCTGCGCGAGCGCAAACATGGCACAATCGCTCGAAGATCGTGCGCTAAGGATTTGTAATTGTCCTTTACAAGGTCGTGAAGCTCGTAAGGCCGAGTCTGTTCATGAGCAAATTCTTCGTGTAACTGATCCGTTACACGGTTCAGTTTCTGATCATCAAGCTGATGCGACCCTCGAGCCGGATCAGGTGTTCCCACCCCCACCACATTCTTTAATGGATTCTAACGGTGTTCAACTCTTTCTGGTGGAGCGTATTTTGAACCGCCGCAACGTGAAAGGCGTCCGGACGAGTTACCTCATCCGCTGGCGCGGTTTCCACCGGCCTGGGACAGCTGAGAGCCTCGCGCCCAGCTGATTGTTAATGTTCTGGGTCTCGTTATGCAATATGACGAGACTCACCGGCTGCGTTAAAGAGGGGCCGTCGGAAAACGACCTCTCCGAACGCGAGGACAGGAATTGCAAAGTGTTAATCCCTTCGGCCATCTCAGAAGATATGAGCTCCCTCCAGTAGGGCACATTAGGGAGGCGGGCCTCCACAGGGGCACGATTAGCACTGTCCAGGCACCCTGGATATGGATCGCCCCAAGAGATACAGGTTTAACCTGCCTCTCTTTACAGCCGGTGCAAAATTGTATCTCACATCGGCTGGGTTACGTTTTTCAAACCTGATGCAAGCTTCACCAAGTTTACCGAGCCAGGCCTCACGGCCAATGTACTCAATGTTATGGATGAAGGCATTCCATCCCTGTACCAAGGCCTTACCGTCGCGGCCACGGTTGCTATTTACCACACACGTTTGTATATCACATCGGTGTGGACTTCTATCTCAACACGAATGGTTTCCGTGCTGGTATTGCGAGTACATATCCTTCTACAGTCAAACAACGGGATTCGATCCCTTTCAGTGGTCATACCGGCCACTCGATCTAACTCCTTGGATGATGGGATTCAAGAAAAATCCAATTGAGGATCATGGTGCAGGACACTATGTTACCTGGCCTCTTGTGAGGTGTCAGCATGAGCACTGACACCAGTAGAAGCTCGATACCTTGAGTTGCTTCTCTCGTGGTGACGTATAGGTGCGTCAATACCATCACCACGCGTCCTAATGTCACATGGACTTGCGTGAGACGATGATTCGTCAGACGAATTGCTCTATTCGAAGATCTCGGACATGATACCGCCATGTTTCCCCGAGCCAATCAACCTGTCTCTTACAGTGTTCGCCCCGGATGACCCGGAGGAAGGAGGTGCCGCCTTTGAGTCGTACGATGCATCCGAATCGCCAGAAAGGATGAGCTCTAGTTCAGGCTCATCAGTACTGCGAGTCACAGCACCCGCTGCAGATGCGGCGGATTTATCTATCGCACGTGGCGGCTCACCACGTGTACTTTTAGCAACAGGCACTGCCTGTTGCTCGCTTGCCAACATCAGGCGAATGATCACCTGCTGCTGAGGCTTAAGAAGTACTCCCTTTGGCTGCACGCATGCGTGCAACCGTCTTTCTGGATGCTTCGGCAGCGCACCGCATGGATTTTGACACCATGCAATGAATCGGCTAATGAGTAGGAATTTGACCAACAAGTGCTCCCCTTCCTAGAGTGATCCAACAGTGATCACCCTGTCCCCGATCAGTTTAATTTAATCAACGGGGTGATTAATCGTTAAGGGAGGTTGATGCAACATGGTATCCCGCTACAAATTGCTGACACCAAACGGTGTCAATAAGGAGATTGTATCGCGTGACAATCTGCTGCCATTATTACCTGAGATAGGTAATATTGAAGGAATATTATCCTCTTTTGATAATATTCACGTGCTCCTCAAAGATTGGTTGACGAAATACATATCAATCAAGATTACTACCAATCGCTGCTAGACGCGCGCAATGGGTGGCGAACAGGCTGTCGTCATACGACAAGACAGGTTAACATAGTTAGATCAAGACAGGAGTTTTAGTGATTATATCATATACATCTTTCTTTTTGCCTTTACTCCAACTAGCAGTATGAGTAGATTAGCTTTCTGTGCACGTACGAGTGTACGTGAAGGATCGTGGCCACATAGAAAAATGGTGCCCTGTTACAAATGATACGATTACCACTGATGCACCACGAGCTTTTGTTACACATGTTTGTTACGCGACCACCAGGCGACGACGCGCGGCATTTTACAATTTCCCCCAGTTTTGGGGTGGGGAGGGAAGCAAGATCAGACAAGATTGTATCGAATTTAAGATAAGCAGTAGATACATTTGCAAGCCTGAAGGATGGACTGTACGCAAGGTGAATGCTGAGCATTCAAATATACTTTCTGTTGGTCTGTTATTTGCGACTGTGTGTCTGTCTGTCTATCTGTGTATGTGGTATGTGGATAACACGGGTGCATGTACACGTCGCACCACGTGCGATGCAGCATGTCCCTCCTCATTGGTAGATTTGTATTTTGATGTCACTCTTAAACTAGGTCACGAACCGCGTTCAGTGTTCGTCACATACATGTACCAATGACGCACATGATCGGATTAAAGAGATAAGTGCGGGTGGATGGCGAAAAAAGCAAATATTCGACACTTCATGACAGCAAAAGTGTCGCACTTCAAACAGTACATGACAATTGATTTTCATCCAAAGTAATCTATGAAAAGATATGATAAGAATCAATGTGAACCTTCTCCTCTCGATGGAAGAGGAATCTTCGTCCATTAGATTTCAGTTACAGATGTGTCAAATATATGTCATCGGTCGCGTTTGTTATCGACGGCGTTCACGAGCAGTTATCCACCACTTTTCTCATATTCGTCTGTTTGGATCGTCAATAACATCAACGAGTACCTCTCACAACGATGTGACTACTCTGTTACTTTAAATACACGACGCACAACTCATTCTCAAGTCGTCCACCACCTGAAATGGGTGTATGTGTAGATTCTTCAGAACTTAATTCAGCTCTATGGACTAATTTACTTAAGGGCGATCTCCACGGCTTGTTTCTGGACGTAGTGCGTGCCCGATCGCGAAGTTATTCGTGAGTGTGCGTGATGTAATGGAGGCACTCCGTTACATGATATTTTACAAAATGTAATCATCAAGTATGATTAGTATGTTAGGGCAAACAATAATCTCGCAATATTATCCTGACAGATAATATTGCTTCTCAGATTTAACACACTGCTCATTGGTTGATACAGGATCGCGATACTACCCGATAAAGGCTAGCCACGACGGAAGCACGCAATGACTTGTGTGCAGATAGTAACAATGCATGTATGTATTTAGACATAGTTCAATGAAGTTAAACATGGATTTACTAAAAGGATCAGCTATACTAATTCAGCTCTACTCTTTCTTTACTGAGTACTGTTACTCCGTATAGCAATCTTCCTCTGCACATACGTGTACGTGAGGTAATCAAACGCCCATCCTTGCACTATCATCAGAACAAGGTTTGTTTAATCATCTAAATAAAGTGACGTCACACCCCTTAATTTGTGTGCCACGAACCTTCACTTACACTCGTACGTGCACAGAAAGCTAATCTACTCATACTGCTAGTTGGAGTAAAGGCAAAAAGAAAGATGTATATGATATAATCACTAAAACCCCTGTCTTGATCTAACTATGTTAACCTGTCTTGTCGTATGACGACAGCCTGTTCGCCACCCTTTGCGCGCGTCTAGCAGCGATTGGTAGTAATCTTGATTGATATGTATTTCGTCAACCAATCTTTGAGGAGCACGTGAATATTATCAAAAGAGGATAATATTCCTTCAATATTACCTATCTCAGGTAATAATGGCAGCAGATTGTCACGCGATACAATCTCCTTATTGACACCGTTTGGTGTCAGCAATTTGTAGCGGGATACCATGTTACATCAACCTCCCTTAACGATTAATCACCCCGTTGATTAAATTAAACTGATCGGGGACAGGGTGATCACTGTTGGATCACTCTAGGAAGGGGAGCACTTGTTGGTCAAATTCCTACTCATTAGCCGATTCATTGCATGGTGTCAAAATCCATGCGGTGCGCTGCCGAAGCATCCAGAAAGACGGTTGCACGCATGCGTGCAGCCAAAGGGAGTACTTCTTAAGCCTCAGCAGCAGGTGATCATTCGCCTGATGTTGCAAGCGAGCAACAGGCAGTGCCTGTTGCTAAAAGTACACGTGGTGAGCCGCCACGTGCGATAGATAAATCCGCCGCATCTGCAGCGGGTGCTGTGACTCGCAGTACTGATGAGCCTGAACTAGAGCTCATCCTTTCTGGCGATTCGGATGCATCGTACGACTCAAAGGCGGCACCTCCTTCCTCCGGGTCATCCGGGGCGAACACTGTAAGAGACAGGTTGATTGGCTCGGGGAAACATGGCGGTATCATGTCCGAGATCTTCGAATAGAGCAATTCGTCCGACGAATCATCGTCTCACGCAAGTCCATGTGACATTAGGACGCGTGGTGATGGTATTGACGCACCTATACGTCACCACGAGAGAAGCAACTCAAGGTATCGAGCTTCTACTGGTGTCAGTGCTCATGCTGACACCTCACAAGAGGCCAGGTAACATAGTGTCCTGCACCATGATCCTCAATTGGATTTTTCTTGAATCCCATCATCCAAGGAGTTAGATCGAGTGGCCGGTATGACCACTGAAAGGGATCGAATCCCGTTGTTTGACTGTAGAAGGATCTGTACTCGCAATACCAGCACGGAAACCATTCGTGTTGAGATAGAAGTCCACACCGATGTGATATACAAACGTGTGTGGTAAATAGCAACCGTGGCCGCGACGGTAAGGCCTTGGTACAGGGATGGAATGCCTTCATCCATAACATTGAGTACATTGGCCGTGAAGCCTGGCTCGGTAAACTTGGTGAAGCTTGCATCAGGTTTGAAAAACGTAACCCAGCCGATGTGAGATACAATTTTGCACCGGCTGTAAAGAGAGGCAGGTTTAACCTGTATCTCTTGGGGCGATCCATATCCAGGGTGCCTGGACAGTGCTAATCGTGCCCCTGTGGAGGCCCGCCTCCCTAATGTGCCCTACTGGAGGGAGCTCATATCTTCTGAGATGGCCGAAGGGATTAACACTTTGCAATTCCTGTCCTCGCGTTCGGAGAGGTCGTTTTCCGACGGCCCCTCTTTAACGCAGCCGGTGAGTCTCGTCATATTGCATAACGAGACCCAGAACATTAACAATCAGCTGGGCGCGAGGCTCTCAGCTGTCCCAGGCCGGTGGAAACCGCGCCAGCGGATGAGGTAACTCGTCCGGACGCCTTTCACGTTGCGGCGGTTCAAAATACGCTCCACCAGAAAGAGTTGAACACCGTTAGAATCCATTAAAGAATGTGGTGGGGGTGGGAACACCTGATCCGGCTCGAGGGTCGCATCAGCTTGATGATCAGAAACTGAACCGTGTAACGGATCAGTTACACGAAGAATTTGCTCATGAACAGACTCGGCCTTACGAGCTTCACGACCTTGTAAAGGACAATTACAAATCCTTAGCGCACGATCTTCGAGCGATTGTGCCATGTTTGCGCTCGCGCAGCTTGAGAACAAGCATTCGATTCGTTCTCTTCGTTCCAGATGACTGCAGCTCGTCAGAACATCGCTCAACTGCGTTAGCAGGTCACTTCGCTGGTCGACCAGATTGGCTCTTTGAAATGGGACCACTCAAAGGTGGTCTCGGTCCTTGACCGCGAAGGTGTTCTTCGCCTCTCGAAACGGCTCGTACTGATAACACGGGAGGATACGTCCAACGTAAAACGTAGGATGCGTACGCATCCTACGAGGCAGTTCAATCGTGTATGCGCTGCCCATACGGCGCAACATACGAAATGGACCGATGTACCTGGGCAGTAATTTGCTGCTGACCACGTTTGTCACTGCGTGTTTTGGTAGATTTACTGTAGACAGTAAAAACTAAGTCTTCTTCATTATGTTAAATAACATTCCCTCTTCCATGTTTGTCTGCGTTTTTTTCTGTCTGTCTAGTGCATCTGCACTATAGTCTTGAACGAAGCGGACAACCGCTTCGCGAGTCAGCAGAAATTCCTCTGCTGTTTCACCCTTGTGAACAGCAGTGCGTTTCGTGTGCACTGCTGAAAGAACGTTGTCTTTACCAGTAAGGGCGTCATCGTCCTCACTGTAGCGTCTTTGGCGATGCTGAATATATTATCATCGTCATCATCATTATTATCGATATCGATGAGATCAACATCGTCATCCATCATGTCGACATCATTGTCGACGTGTGATGAGCAAGAAAAAGATCGGTTTTTGTTCGAGAGCTCCCCCCCAAACTATAGTCACACTCTGAGAAGACGGGTAAACGTGGATGGTATAGGCCATTTACGAAGAACGGTGTATGCGTTGTCGACGCTTGCACCGAGTTGTTCATGGTGAATTCCGCCATCGTCAAGAACTCAC